GAGAAAAAAACTTTTGAAGTGATAATCAAGATAGCCCAGTACAGACAGTTCCACTCTATATGCATCTGAAGAAGTGGGCTGTAGTCCACAAAAGCTTATGCTCCAATAAATTTGTTAGTCTCTAAGGTGCCACAAGTACTCCTGTTCTTCCTCCCCAAATTACACATTCTCTTGTTGTTTTCCCACCCTCTCTGTTACCCACCCTCCTGTGGCTCCCTGCTATGTACAAATCCAGTGTGAGGGTCTGACTCTGGCACTTCAAGCCCTCTGCTTGGGGCTGCCCTCTCCGTGTTTAACTTTCTGTACAGACCCTTCCCACACCCAATCTCCCTTCACTTTCGAGTCTGTCTTAATGTGCAGAAAATAATCAGTTCTAAACATCAGGCTTTGTCCAAGTGACTTTGTGCAGGTTGGATTTATCTATCCCTCATCCTGGTATCACAGTAGATTTTTTTTTTTACTTTGTGAGATAGGCAGGGATGATTCATTGTCCCAGTAACCATTTAAAAGGGAAGCTTAGAACATGTGACTTTTACTTTTAAGTCTTCTACTTTTCTCCTTGCCTTACTCAGGTCTCAGAATCACCTAGATCAGGGATCGGCAACTTTTGGCACGTGGCCCGCCAGGGTAAGCTGGGCCAGTTTGTTTACCTGCTGTGTCCGCAGGGTCGGCCAATCGCGGGTCTCACTGGCCATGGTTCGCCGTCCCAGGCCAATGGGGGCTGCGGGAAGCAGCGCTGGCCGAGGAATGTGCTGGCTTACCCTGGCGAGCCGCATGCCAAAGGTTGCTGATCCCTGTCCTAGATGTTCCAACCATCTGGCTTGCCTTCAGTTCCCAAGAAGGGAATATGCCATGAGTCCCTCCTGAACAGAATGGGAAGGTAGTATTGAAAGGGGGTCCAGTAGGGTCACTCAGGTGTTGAGAAGGATCCCACATCACTGTCTTCCTGGGGTCTGTCTTGTGTCCAACTGTACCCAATACATTACTAATGTGGATGTTGGAGCTTGTTAGCCTGGTTCATGGGCTGAAGTGTGTATATGCACATACTAGGTATGATACAGGCAACTGAATGAAATTGAGAGATTAGGTGAATTAATACAGGAAAGTGAGTTCCTCACCCACTAACCATGACCTCAATGAGAGTGAAATTCCTTCTAGACTGATGCAGGCAGGTATCACTCATTTTTTCCACTGCATCATGCAGCACAGACGGTGACTGGCTCATGTGAAACCATTTTGTGCTAGGAATGGGACTGTATTTCAGTCAAATGCACTAACCTAGAGTGGCCAATACAGGCTGGTCAGATACCCAGAGAGGAGGTCTGGAGCAAGAGCCAATAACATAACACTGTCACAAGAAGGCACATGCCTTAATAGAATCATTGGACCTAGGGACCTCAAGAGGTCATCTAGTCCAGTCCCCTGCAAGAGCCTCCACTGTAGCCCAGGCAAAGTTGTTAACCCTCAGCTCAGACTCCATTTTTGCAGGCAGACAGAAACAGAGAGAGGTCAGCAGAAAGCACATAAAAAAGATTAGAGGGAAAGAATAATGGCTGTCAGGGCATGATGGAGACAACTGGTGGGGCTGTGAAGGTCCAATTGTGGCCCCAGACCAGTGTCCCAAGCAACAAGCCAGTCCCAAACTGTTCCTTCCTATGAAGGTGTCCATCCCCATGTCCTGGAAAATAGGTCCTATTTCTTCTCACTTGTGTAGGGGCAGGCACTTTGGGTCTCTGATGTGCTCCAGAGTCCTTTACAAGGAGTGTTGCAAAGCCTCATTGGAAGCAGCAATATGGCCAGTTCAAAGAATTCTGGGAAATGTTTGGGAACTAAAGGTGGTGGCTGAGACAACTTTCCCCTTCAAGAAGAAGTGATAAAAAGTGAGGCCTAGGTTGGAAGGAGCCTTTGTTGGTGGGAGATAAATCTTTAGTAAAAGAAGTCATTGTATCTAGAGCCAGGCCCTGGGAGGGCTGTGCCTAGATCCCAACTTTACGGGACTAGAAAACACTAGCAGCCCCTGAGTTGGAGAAGTCCTACCAGTCCATCATGCCCATCTTTGGGGGTGGGGGGAGGCAGAGCATGAGTATCCACTACAGAACATTTTCTAGTGTTCTTTGGTCTCATTTTAAATTTCCACAGCAATGAGCTGCCCCCTTAGTCAAACCAGGCAGGTTTAATTATTTAAATCTGTCTCCATAACTCAGATCTTCTGGCTCCTGCTTGTTTC